CAGCGATCCTTATCAGGCTGCAGAAGCATTTTACTGAGATTCGTAGCATATGCATGTAAGTGAGACTCTCTGTGTTTAATTATGTCTGCGAAAGATTTAGGCTTAGAACATATTAACAAAATCAACCAAAATAACTATAGCTCCCTTTGTAGCACTTTCCCACAGAGTGCATTACAGCTGCGTATGGCAGTTTACAACATAGCAACAGTTGATCATATGGGCACAGAGGAGAGGAAAACAAAATGACCCGTATTAGAAAAGAAACCTCTGGGGTTCCCCTCCAGGCAAGTTAATCATAATAAATCATGACCAGTTTCTGCAATGTCCTGTCCTGTTTAGTCTGTCGCTGTAGTTCTAGGAGGGAAGAAAACTAAGAAAATCAAAGTTAGGAAAACAGTAGCCCAGATTGTTAAACAAATCAATTTAGAAGAATATTAAGAGAAAGAACACACCCCAGTTCAGGAAAGGCACATACGGCGTAGCAAGTAGAGGCTGGAAAGGATATTTACAAAGGTCAAGAGAGCGAGAAAAAAGGAATATTGCAATGACGGCTAAAATAAAAAAACAGATGGGTTTTTTTTCCAGCATGGCGACAGCAAAAGAACAAAAAAAGATTAAGTAAAGTGTCCCAGAGATAAAAATGGGAGATGACAGGGAAATAGCTGATGTTCTCAAATAATATGTTACTCAGGTGTTTTCCAAGGAAGGAAGAAACATCATTCCACAGGAAAAGAAAAGACAAAGTTAAATAAATTTGATTATTTTTTTCACTGGAGAGGCAGTAGTGTTACAAGTGCTGAAACAACATAAGATAAACACAACTCCAGGGCCAGATGGTATGCTATCAATAGTACCGCAGAAAAAAAAGAAATGTTATTTACATACCATTTCAGCATTCTCTAGACACAGGGGCAATACCCACTGATTGGAAAAATTGCTAATGTAATGCCCATCTAAAAGAGTGATAAAACTAAACTGAGCACATAAGACCATAAAGTCTCACTTCTAGTTCCTGCAAAGTTATAGACATCACACAAGAATTAGTACGAAGCAAGAGCATATCTATGACAACACAATTCGAAAGATGTGTTTTCCAGTCCTAGTCCTGGAGTACCTTTGTGTCTTCTGGCACTCATTCCAACTGAGCTCTTAATCAATCGTGCTTATTGAACCCTTAATTGGACCAAGTGATTGAGTTTCAGCTGTTTTTTTTTTGCACTCCAGACAAAGAATCCTCTTTATCTTTTATGCCATTTCCCAGAAATACTGTATAGTGGCCAAAACTCTGTCTCAGCTCGGTTTACAATTGTTGCTCTCCCTTAGCTTTCTAAACTGCAATTACTGTTTATTAATTAAGGATATGCAGTAGCAGGCGGGAATAAAATCATCAAACACTTTATAATCATCATTCTCAGCACTGCAGGGGCCTCATTAGTTAAATTCAACCATAGAATTCAAGTCATTGAACCATTAAACCTAAGTGAGAGGAGAGCTGAATGCCAGGCCTCTGGTATCTGGCACAGGTTTCATGCTAATTTCTACCCTCTTTCTATGATTTGAGAACTGAGACGTTTCAATCTGGGGGCTTGACGAGCCCAACGGACAAGGTTCAGCTGGAATAAAACACAGAAGAGACAGGGGCTTGAGCATGAGGCCTGGGAAACACCAGTGGATAATCAGAGTGGTGGCTCTGTGGCTAAGGATCTGCGCCTGTGGCTGGAAGGTTGCCGGTTTGTATCCCGTGGCCGGCAGAGGAATCCTACTCTGTTGGGCCCCTGAGCAAGGCCCTTAACCCCAGCTGCTCCAGGGGCGCCGTATAAATGGCTGACCCTGCGCTCTGACCCCAAGCTTCTCTCCCTGCCTGTGTGTCTCATGGAGAGCACATTGGGGTTTGCGAAAAGACAATTTCCTAATAAAAGAAATTGTATATGGCCAATAAAGTGATCTAATCTTATCAATATGAGTAAAAAGAAGAACAGGCAACAGCAGAACTGGATACCATTACAGCGTGTGGCGGAGTATGTTTAGCACTTCAGTTGTCTTCTGCTATAACTCCTCATAAAGAAGGCACTCTTAAAATACTGTATAAGATGGTGTGCAGCCAAGATAATGTACGTACATTGTGAATTAGACTAAAATCAAGACTGGGCAAATACCTAACTGCAGACGTTCAATATAGAAAAGTGCAGGGCGTTGCACAGATGTAGCAGAAATGACCTAAAATGGGAAATACTGAGTTTAATCATTTTTATTCTTGAACAAAGAAGACTAAGGATGGATTCATGTATTCAAAATCCTCAAAAGCACGGTAGATGTGCCAAGTGGCCCCCTCTCAGTTGTAACTATTTTTTAAGTGAAAATGTCATCAGAGAATCCCGAAACACATGTGCAGATACACAATACGTAGTAGGACACGAAACGAAGCCATTTACAGCTTTAGGAGCTAGCAACAGTGAAGAACAAAATGTGAAACTGACGGAAAAAACACCAAAAAAATGAGCTGTCCGCACAGAGTCATGACCATGGAATAGAGAACTGGACTGAGGGGTTTCTTTTTCATAATATTCCTGTAAATCTGTACTAAACGATAAGGATGAGAATGGTGCGGATTCCAAAGTTCCTTTATCCCCCAAAAATCGTTGTTTTGTAATTGAGAGAGCCGCAGTACATTTCTCCTTAACACACCCTCACGAGCTTTGCTTTGACCCAAACAAACACAGCCCCTGCCTGAACTGCGGCGAGTCCCAGTGATGTGATGAGGGAGGCTGGCAGGAATGTCAGGCAGACTTGCCCGAGCTCTACCAGTCAGGTGGGCTCAAGCACAGCCCCTGGCTGACTGGTGCTCTAATCCGAAGCCTGTCTAGACAGACACAGGCTCTGCCAGCTGTTATCACAACCGAGAGAAGCACAAGCAGAGAAACAATGGCAGCAGCCTCCCAGAGTCATCTGACTAACCACAAAAGCAGGCGTGGTCACCACATTTCCCAGCACTCCACTTCCCCCAGAAAGAATGAACGCAGGCCAGGTGATTGGCATGTGTTCCTGGGTGTCGATAAGACATTCAGGCGCACGGCGCTGAGGCAATAATCGCATCTGAATACTCTGTTACCTGTGACAATCGAACGATTACCATCCTAATAGCCTTGCAGCGTGGGAAAGACTGGGGTCTATGAGAAATAGTTTTTGAGGGTGTCTTCTTTTTGGTACATGGTTAAAGCTTTCCTATGCCAGAAAATAAATATGCTGGAAAAGCTAAGAATAAAAGTGCTTCGACTTTCCTCTTTCACATGAAATGTGGGTTGATTAGAACTTGCTTAAGGTGACACTGTGGTTAGCAGAGCAGCCTTGCAATGCTGGAGCCCCAGGTTCAAATCCCTGCCTAGGGTACTGCTTGTGTGGAGACTGGATATTCTTCCTGGGTTTCCTCCAGTTGCTCTGGTTTCCTCCCACAATCCAAAGACACACTGGTTGGTAAGCTGGCTCTAGTGGGGAGGGGGTGGTGTCAGAAAAATAAAATGCACCACACCAGTTTCCATCTGGCTTTTTGAGCATCAGTCTGGAAATGTATTACTTTTGACTGTGGGGCGACTGCTCTGTAATGGATTGGTGTCTGGCCAGGGTGTACCCTGCCCCGTGCCTATTGCTTGCTGGGATAGTCTCTGGCTCCCCCATGACCCTGAATTGGATGAAGTGGTTGGAAAATGGAAGACCCACTGTTGTATCTCTAAACAGATATACAGCTTTATCTGTGAGCTGTTTTGAAAGTACCTTGGTCTTCATGGTCGAATCCTTGCTTGAACATCACTATCTTACGAAATGCAGGCAAACACCGTGGATTGCTTTTGGTACTTTGCGAAAGGAGTAACAGGGCAGACCAGCCCAGAAAATACAGCCCATATTGGGAAAATTCTGCCTTACAGAGTAAGAGGAACATCCGCCTTTGGCTGTAGAGAATCTCAGAATATTAATTGCAGAAAATAAAATGATAGGTATGGCACTTACACAGCTTGATCAAAAAGTGGGGAAGAATGACAATGTTTTTCAAAGCTACACTGCCTGAATTTGAAGCTGGAGTGTCTGAGGGGAACCTCATTTTTACTGCTTCTCAGTCACGATCAATCGCTTGCCTTCTTAAACTGCCCACTGACTCGGTATTGTTCTTTTCCGAACAGAAACGTCACGTTCAAAGTTGTGCTTGAAATTCTGCGCTTGAAAAAAAACAACGTCCTTGATTCTTGCAAAGAGCACCTCCACAGCTCAGGTGAGAGCCTCCCTGTTTCTGACAGACTCCTGTAAGACCATGTCCATCCTAACCCCGAGGTCTGAGCAACCAGCACAAGGAGACGAGAGAGCTCATGCAGTTCTTATTCCTTCCATTACCATGAAGGATGCCAGGCAGTTCCAGACCACGGTGGTACTGCAATCCTGACAGAGGTCACAAATTCATCTGGCTTGTGGCCTGAGCCCAATTAAGGCTTGCTAATCAGCTCGGTTAGGTTTGGCTCAGATAGGCTGTGTCTTGGCGTAAAGATGTAAACGGTAACATGTAACAGGACACGTACGCAATCCGTATAAATTTGTAATACCCATCCCAAGAAAAGGGATATTTTTATTTATTCAGCTTTCTCATATCATTGTGTTTGGTTGATACGCTTTAATTTGTGGGGGGAATTCATACAGTACATTGCAGATTTTCCACACTTAAAGGGGAAAATTGTTTACCTTTGTCGTTTAGTACTGATATGATTTATTTTAAAGGATAAGACTGTTACCTGTCCAGGACGAAATAGGGGTTATACAGGGGTAAGAAGAATATCGTCTCCATTCTGCTGTGCATTTGCTCCTTTCTGAATTTAAATTCGCAGCGTACGGCCGAATCTCCGTGCAACAACACACGTACTGTACAAATATAGAAAAATGCTTTTCGAAAACAATTTTAAAAAAAAAAACCCTCCAGGGGTTGCTTCGCCCCAGCACCGTGCCAAAACGCTGAGCTTTCAGCAGGCTTGGGGCGCCGAAGACGGCGAGGGGCTTGCCGTCACGTGGTCAGAAAGAGGAGGCTGGAGTTCTCGGCGAGCCCGGCCGCGCTCCTGGGGTCCGGCAGTCAGCGGAGTTTCCCCACCGGCCACCTGAGCCTGCTGAAACCCGCCCGTTCACGCTTTCCACCACAGCGTGCGCTGCCAGCGGGGGAGAGAAGGAAATGAATCCCGGAGCAGGAAAGGGGGAGAAGGATTTCCTAGGGCTTTGACTGAAACCGCTAGGATTCGTTCCTGTAACGGAGTCTTTCGGCAAAGCTCCGTCCGTCGAAGAGTTCGCTCCTCGCATCCGCTGATGCCGGTCTAGGGACGCGCTCCAGTGGGTTCTCACCTGCCGCGGAGGCGGAGATCAGCTCCTTCTGCGGTGCGTTTTTAAACTCGAATAGGTAAGGCTGTGATTCACTCATGTCAGAATGAGCCTGCGTTTACCACAAAAAAAAAGCATAGCGAAATAATGAACTTGATGGATATAAATGAGCAGACTTCAGATGCGCACAGGGTGTGTGAACAGAGCTGCTTTTATATTGTCCGAGAAGGTTAATGGTAAATGCATGACAGGTATTGTGTATCGCAAACATTGTGTTGTTACACAGCAGGGAAAAAAATGCTGCATTTTGATTTCCTTTGAATTAAAAGTTTGAAAATCGATGAGGATAAAAATGCCTTGTCGAATAAATAGAAACATAATACATTGGATTTAACAGTCGTTAAAATAAGCATTTTCCAAAAATACAGTTTTCAAATATTATAACTAACTGTTTTTTTGTTAAAGAATAGCTTTGTCGCTGTTTTCCTCATGGTACTCGTTAACCTTTAACCAAATATGAATGTCAACGAAGCGCTAAAGAAAGCTGGTCACTGATGAATAATTTTCAAGCAGATTTAGTTTCTGGATCCATGTGAACGAGGAAGTACAATCTAAGGGATAGTTAAACTAAAGCTTAACTGTCGATTTAATTGATATGACTTTAAAGTAAGTCGGTTATCCTATTCTCTTATCCGTATTTGTCTTCAGGACGGGATTGTTCTTCCAGAAGCAATACTAGATAAGGCAAAAGTCAAACAGCTTTCACAAAATCCTGACATTGTCTAGAGCTTACATAAAGCGTCGTGTTTGTTCTATGCGCTAGTGTGCTTGACATATTAATGTGACGATTAGGTTGGCATTCATATAATTACACAGCGATGTATCAAAAAGTAGAACAGGCGGAAAAAGTCGACTGTACAGATCTACCTTAAGAGTTTCATTAAGTCAGAGCTAAATTTCAGTTTCATTATGTTACTCCTTTTACATATCAAATTATTTACATATCGTTATTTTTATATTAAAAAGGCTTCTGTTCAAATAACATAAAAATGGTTTAAATGCTGACATCACTAAGAACATTACATTTCTTTAAAAAACATCTAGGTACTGTATTAAGGAAAATGTGGTACTTCATTCGGCTGCGCAACTTGCTAAATAGACTGACTTTATTCTATATGTATAACGCAATCAGAGGAGTTACTTAAATATGGTGATAGAGTTTAGCATTAATTAAAGCATGGAGAAGACTACCCAGTATATCTTAGTGCCGATTCTTTATGTGATAACTACAATTCTCGTCCAATACATTGGAATCAATACCTGAATTGTTAAAATATGTGAGATCAGACGTTTATTTCTGGTGACATTTGAATGAATATTGCGTTCTCAATCGAGCAGTGCAAATACAATGACAGGCGATGTTATAAAATGATGAAAAACGTGTGTTTGATAGTTAAACCCTTGGTTTTGGGGTACGGTGTGGTCATCTCGCTTGCACTGCAAATAATGGGTGTTGTCTTTCGTATCAATCGTAAAAAGTAACAGACTGGTTAGGGAAAAGTACAGCGCTGATAATGTACTATCTAAAATAAACTTAAGCGAGTTTCAGCAACTTTAATACAATTTCATTTTACCGAAAGTTTGGGCTTGGAGTTCAGATTTAAAGCAAAAATTGGGGTTTTCCCCCTCTCGAAGGAGCTGTGCTCTCGAGATAAGACTTCTACAGAAAAGAAGAACGCCCCCCTAAACTGTTCGGGTTCTAATGATCTGGTGAAGATCCTATCATCAATTAACGGTAATTGCGCGCAAAGTACGAGCTCCGTCCAAATACCGCCTGCCTCCTTCTAGCCAGGCGAAAACCCCTCTCCTTTTTTCGCTCTTGCTCCGTGAAGGAACTGGACCGTGAGCACGAAGTGGGGGCATGGCAGTATTCTGGAGATTGTCACTGAGCGCCCGTACTGCACTTCTGCAGTTCTCGTCTTTGCATTCAGCCTCCGTCACTTTCGAGTTCTTTCACTTGACGCGGCTGGGGCTGTCCCCGGACAATGAGAGTAAGGGTCTCCCCACAAGACCTCGGCCGGGCAAATGAGCGGGTGACTAGACAAGACAAACTGTTGTGCAAGAAAGAAAACGAGAGGGATCGGAACAGCCTGTCGGGGGAGACAGCGGAATGAGCTGCGCCAGAATTACCCAGAGGGTTAGATCCCACAGCCACTCTTAAATACACACAACACTAATCCGAAACTATTTGCTTCTTTGGACTAAATAAAAGAAAGGGTCTTGGGAGCCTTAAAGACAGCAGGAAAAATCTTGGCTAAATTCCAGTATGGATCAACATTCTCTGCTGGTTTCCTTTCAGTGCACCCAGTCCTTCAGCTAAAAATAGACAGCATTCAGTTCATGACACCCAACTTATCAGCTTCAGAAATAATTCAGGACTTCTCTAAGGGAGCAACATTCCTTAAAGAAAAGAACTTCTCAAAAGGAACAATTTAGACTTTCGTGGGGTCTAATTTCCCTCTATGGGTAAAAACTACCATCTTCTTACCACCTGATTCAACAACTCCAGTTCTCTGGAGCTTATTTTAGTCAGCTCTATTATAAAAATGACCTAGTGTAAGCATTTGTTTGCTTATAGTTTAACTGGAAAAGTAATATAAAGGAGAATTAAGTTCATCTTAAAATGCGTAGGCAATAATTAGCGATTTCAGCTTTTTAACAATACATTGTGTCAGCCATTTCATGTGCATGGATATCGAGTCACTTTGAATCAATTACAGAATTCACATTTAAAAAGTTACATAGTATAAAATAAGCATTTACATACCTTTGAGTTGACATTCTAGCTGATTCTGAATGAGAAATTCACTGTAGGTTTGACATAAAATAAAATGTCCTTTATTGAAAGGTTAAGAGACACAGAAAGGTCTGCGGGTTTGCATCTCTGCAGGCCCTGCATCTTCACTGAACTACAGGGCCGAACATCCCTCATGTTGCCTCTGCAGACTGGCTCCCCTCGATGTACTGTGAATTCCCAAATGAGCTAACTTTATATTAACAGGGAGAGAACTGGGACTGCAGCTCTACTGATTAACCAGAGACCACTGTAGACTTTGTCGGAGCAGGTTTCCTATATACTGTAGCTTAAGCTGATTCCACTAGGTAATTTCTAACCATCAGATCTCAAATATCCGCAGGTTAGTACCAAATACCCGGTTAATATTCTTTATGCCTTAAACAAGTCCAAAGATATAAGAAAACGAAAAAATCCCCTTCACAAAAATGATTCAGTGTTCTGTGAATGACTCCTGCGATACACAACTGTACTGCTGGAAATTTCTATCTGAATAGTGTCATAACATGAAACTAATTCAATGCTCTTTTCATATGTCTTATAAGATCCTTAGAGCATCGGGACTATATTCTGCATTTAATTTGATTTTGCAGTGGCTTTGAAGTAAAAAATAAGAAATTACTGTTTATTTTGGGACAATGCAGATGGGATCTAGATGGAGTAGAAAGTAGCTGCACACTTAGCAGTTACAGCTTGACTAGGTGAAGCCCTTTACTGTAGTATAGCCTGGATTGCAAGACCACAGAAGTATTTGACGCCAGTCCCTGTGTCTGCAGCACCACTAGGGAACCTCAGCATTCACTGAATCACCTGTGCACATTATCCAGCCTGCAGGACATGAGTGAAAGTATCGGTTATTCTCTTGTTATACGTCTGCTTCTTTGTGTACAAAAGCACAGCCAGAATTATACCCCATAGTTCAGTGGAATGTATAACAAATGGCAAGGAAAGGAAAAGCAGGTTATTGGGGTTGTACACATTCAGTCGCTCACAAGATGTTCCTCCCCAGGGGCTAAGTGTGACAGAACGTCTAATTCCCTTAACGACCAGTATATATGGATATCTCTCGCGTCAGTAGTAATAATGGAGCCAGTTAGTTAATGATGTAACTGCTGTTTCAACAAAATGGAATACAATGCCAGGACAGTCAGAGCTGCTATAAGCACATTTCTGCAGAGGAGGAGCAGAATCAGGACTACAGGGCTTGGGAGGTCTTTCCAGTGCAGACGAGTAGAAAAAAGCCCAGTAGTTTTCCCTCTTTGAGATGTGACATTCCACTGCTGCACTTTTAGCCAAGTGTTTTGACAGCAAAAGGGAAATATTCTTGGAATGGGTGACAGAAGACAAACACAATCTTTGGTTGACCCCCTCAAGCATAGACATAGACAACAATGTCATGGAATTGCTAATGCGAATGTGTGGTGTTTTAGGAATTGGCCAGTGTTGGTCACACTCACTGTATTGTAATTTAGTACAACAATTCTTTAGCAGGATTTAGTAACTATGGCACGTAGCTGGGTTATTCCTCTTATATGTTTCACTTTTTCAGGAAGCTGTGTTCTTGCCATTTAATCAGCAAAACCAAAGTATTTAGTAAGCAGGGGACCTGAGGGTGGAATGAAGGATGAACTGCTGTTGTTATACGGCATTCCAGTTTTGTTTTACATTCATTGTGTGCGATTGTGTCACCTGCCTTCCCAAAGCCAGGCCCAAAGAAGTCAGCTACAAACAATGCAGAAGAATTACCAATCATTTGTCCATTTAATGCTGAGGTTTAGCAGTAACATCACTGGGATGCCAGTGGGTACTGTGTTATGTGGCGGAGAGTGGAGTGGTGGTTCTGGGTATCAGTTGCTAGGTAAGGCTTTCCCCCTGACCAGTGATCTGTGTACGTGGCCAGATTTAGGGGAACAAATGAGTGTGAATGAGATTGTTGTACTGTCTCATTCAGATAGTATATTCCTATCCACATGAGTTCTGAACAATTTAGTGACCCTAGTAACCCAAGCACCAAGAACACTAGGACAGCGATCACTTAAGAAGTCATTAGAAGTGTCAAATTATGCTTTGAGTCCTTTCTAGTGTTTTTTAATCCTAAAACAGGGTAAGAGTCAGGGAACAGGTGAGATGGGAACATGAATTTGAAGACCTATTCCTTTTTCTCCATCTAAAATAAACATAAGTTGAAAATGGTCTTTCGGAGGACATTTGTGTTCTTGCGTACCTCTTATTCTTGGAGATTAAGATTTGTGTCAACAACATTGGATGTTGACAGACGATTACATATGTGTTACAAAATGCCTAGGGCATTAGCATGTTTTAATAGCTAACAGAGGGTGGGTATTCTGATGTGAAGTCTGTAGTTGAATGACAGTACAACTTGAAGTATGCTAAAATTTATTTTGAGGCATTTTTATTATGAATCAGTAAATTCCTGGTGATTCTTTCCATTTTGGTTTCAGCAACATTGTTCAAGTGACCATCATAACTGTGCCTGCCATTGTGTATAAATGGAATATTCATGCATGCCAATCCTTTAAAATATTGTCAGTCAAATGTCCAGTTACCACAGGGCCTCCAAACTAAGCTCCACAGATGTCATCTCAGGATCAACCATACTGTAACCTTTACTGTAACATGCTGTTCTTGTGCTACCTTCAAAAACAGTAGTAGTGCAGAATGTAAAAGATTCTTTGCAACTTTTAAAGTCAGAGCCTTGTCTTTGCATAGGACAGTTCGTATATAGGAAATACTAACGGTGAGTGGAAGAATTGACCCCCCTGGCTCAGTACAAAGTCCTTCCCGCAGGACCTGTGAGTGAAATAAAGAAAGCAGTGAAAGGCTTTGATAATGTTCAACCAGCGGGGGAGTGCACCTGCAACACAACTGACCTTGTCTGTTGGAGTGACAAACCAAACACAAGTAGGAGGTATGCTTCAGTGGTTTTCCTTTAACATAGCATTGTAGGGCATCATTACAGTAAACCCTTGGTTTGATGGACTAATAAGGGCGCTGACTTATTTTTTAACGATTGCGAATAATGCAGTCCATAAAAAATTGTTCCTGTGCCTTTTCTATCATAAATATACAAGCTCTTTTTTATCTCATAAATATTGTGTATCAAATTCACTAAATCATAGGGAAAAACAATACCCACTGTAAGCATTTGGCCTGCCCTTATAGGGCACTATTGATGTTCCTGAATTTTAAACCTACGCAGCGTTTATTGCATTTTTAATTTTTTTTTTTTATTTGCGCATTTCCATGTTATTGCATGTCTGTCCTTATGGGAGTGGAATCTTCCAGGATATCAATGGTCCCATCCACAGGGCACGAGTGGTCACTGAATGGCTTGATGAGCTTGAAAATTACATCAGTCGGATGTTATGGCCGTCCCAGTCACCAGGTCTCAACCCAACCAAACACTCGAGAGATGATGGAGCAGCACCTGAGACAGCATTTTCCACCACCATCAACAAAACACAAAAAACGGTGGAATTTCTAGTGGAAGAATTCTGTCCCACCCCTCCAGTAGAGTTCCACACACTTGTAGAATCTATGCAAAGGCCCGTTGAAGCTGTTGTGGTGGCCTGTGGTGGCCCAATGCTTTATTAATGTAACGAACAGTTCTTTCCGGACCCTATGCGGACGACACAGTCCGACGGAGTGGGGAAACACTGGGGAAACTTCATGCAGGAAAACGGGGCTGAAGACAGGGGGCGTGTCAGTAGGTGCGCTGGTGCACGGGGGAGGTGTGGCAGAGGCGAACAATCCGAGAGAGTAGTCCTTAGGGAATATCTAAAACACAAGGGTAAGTCCAAAACCAGGAGATCCATCTGAACAAAGAATTAAAAAACCACGAAGGCCGGGTCGGAACCGGCGGACGGGGAACAGGAACGGGAACAGGAACAGAGGTTAAAACCTTAACGGGACCAGGCGCTTCC